TGTTATGATCAAGTATTGATCTCTTTGTTATGATCAAGTATTGATCTCTTTGTTATGATCAAGTATTGATCTCTTTGTTATGATCAAGTATTGATCTCTATTTTTGTAGATCTTCAAATTGATTTACTTCCCTTGGATATCCTACGATGGTTGTGCCTTACAAGGATAATTTAGTTGGGAGATCAAGCATGAATCCTCAGATTTATTAGTGCCCCCATTGGATATCGAATCATGAGCGTACTATATAAACAATATCTACACAAAAGCTACGACCATTCAACATTTTTCGGAGTTATATCAGTTGCAAATACAGAATTTTAAGAGCAACAATTCTCAAGTGTTTCTTACTTCAAAAAAATGTCACAAAAAGACATTTTTCTTGTAATTTTTTTCTCGTTTTCTCGTTTTTTTCGTTTTTTTCGTTTTTTTCGTTTTTTTTTACCTGATAGGGAAGCATTTAGTGGGATCGAAGGATGAAGGGAATTGTCCATTGTTGGCACAGCACTGTATCCCATGGTTGGGAGTATGTGTTATATCATGATCTATAAACTGACCCATCTGAAACAAATGTCTGACATTTCTAACACAATATTCGCTATGGATAACATTGAGAGAAAATTATAAAGCATAACCTAGCTAATAGGATTTTAATCTCTAAATTTTGTTAGGAATGTTTTTGTTCTTACATTTAAATAAATTTGCAGTTTACAAACGAGAATTTCAAACGCGAAAAAATGAAAAAGAATAAAAAGGTGTTTTTTCCACAACAGTCATCTGTTACCTCCTAATAAGAACTATGTTATACAATATCTCCATAACAAGAACTGTGTTATATATTACCTGCATAACAAGAATTATGTTATATGTTACATGTATAACAAGAACTTTGTTACATGTTATCTGTATAACAAAAACTGTGTTATATGTTACCTGCATAACAAGAACTGTGTTATATGTTACCTGAGAACTGTGTTATATGTTACCTGCATAACAAGAACTGTGTTAAATGTTACCTGTATAACAAGAACTGTGTTATATGTTACCTGCATAACAAGAACTGTGTTAAATGTTACCTGTATAACAAGAACTGTGTTATATGTTACCTGCACAACAAGAACTGTGTTATATGTTACCTGCATAACAAGAACTGTGTTAAATGTTATCTGCACAACAAGAACTGTGTTATATGTTACCTACCTAACAATAACTGTGTTATATGTTACCTGCACAACAAGAACTGTGTTATATGTTACCTGCATAACAAGAACTGTGTTATATGTTACCTGCACAACAAGAACTGTGTTATATGTTACCTGCATAACAAGAACTGTGTTATCAGAATCCATCTGGTTTGAAACACCAGCTAGACCGTTACTCACTTCTCTATAAATCAATTATTAATAAATCAATGGATGAAGCAATTATTAAGTGGACTGTATGCGTAACTTTAAGTGCCTTAAATGCAAAAAGGGCCAGATTCACAAAAAGACTCCTTAACCTTTGACAGATCAAGGATGATAGAGATTTCCCAATTTTACTAGATAAACATCGAGTGAAAAATGTACTCTCCACGAAAACGCGAATTACTTGGAATTAAATTTCATGCACATAATTTCATATTTAAAACAAACACTCGCTCTATGCTAAAAATCATAAATCTATGTTAAATATAAAGATCTATGTTAAAAAATAAAGTAAAAATAGATCTATATGGTAAAATCTATGTTAAATATCAAAGATCTATTTGGATACTTTGGTCAAAAAATTACTTTTTTTAACGACAAAAATATAAAAGGCAGAAAATAAAGACATTGATGGACTAATCCAACCCTGCAGGGTAGCATTTCTATATTTTATAATTTTAAACTTTTAATCTTGATTAGAATCTAGATTTGAACTGCAAAGTAATATCACAAAAATTGATAAAGGAATTATTAGGGCCGGATGCCAGCTCCTTATTTAAAAAGCTTTAAAGAAACGCCATTGTTTAAAAATTAAATTTCAACCTTTACTATTTGTATAACAGACCTGGTAGTTTAAAATATCAAAGTTCATTGAGAAAGGTATAGAGAAAGGTATAGAGAAAGGTATGGAGAAAGGTATAGAGAAAGGTATAGAGAAAGGTATAGAGAAAGTAGAGAAAGATATAGAGAAAGGTATATAGAAATATATAGAGAAAGATATAGAGAAAGGTATAGAGAAAGGTATAGAGAAAGGTATAGAGAAAGGTATAGAGAAAGGTATAGAGAAAGGTATAGAGAAAGGTATAAAGAAAGGTATAGAGAAAGGTATAGAGAAAGGTATAGAGAAAGGTATAGAGAAAGATATAGAGAAAGGTATAGAGAAAGGTATAGAGAAAGGTATAGAGAAAGGTATAGAAAAAGGTATAGAGAAAGGAAAAATAGAGATAGAGACAAGTGTTAAATTCCTTCCTTGCTTTACCTCGCAGAAGGAAGTTCAAAGTTGCTGTTAGCTCTCTTCCTAGGGATATCCACTGTTCCCTGAATAAAGAAGTAATCTCCGTTTGTCTGTTTGTTTTTATGTCCGATCATAACTAAGGAACCCCTGAGCCTATTTGCCTCAAATTCATCTTTACTTATTTAACACTTTGTGAAGAATAACCTGCTTAATTCTAGATTTTGTTTAAAAAGAATACTTGCCAAATAGATTTTTTCAAACAACCCTTTTTTAGGACTAAATTACCCTTCATAGGACAAAACAACCCTCTATTAGGATCAAAATACACTTTTCCATGACCAATAAAACTTTTTTTAGGACTTAACTACCCTTTTTCCGACTAAACTACCATTTCAAGGACTATACTAACAATTTTTAGAATAAAAATCCTGTTTTTTTTGGAATTAAAGTACCCTTTTTTCTTCCCATTTTTAGGATTAAGCTACCCTTCTTCAGGACAAAATTACCATTTTTAGAACTAAACTACCCTTTTTTGAGACTGAAATACCTGTGCATATTCAGGCAGCAAAATCCTTTGAAAAGGAGTCCCAGTTCTTCCAAAATTAGGTTCCTAAAAAAGACAAAATTAGGTTCCTAAAAAGACAAAATAAGGATCCCAAAAAACACTATTAGGTTCCTATAAAAAAAATTATGTTCCTAAAAATCTAAATTTCGCCAAATGTCAAAATTCCTTAATAGTCAAAGAACAGATGTTGTACACCTTCCATGTGCCTAGTGCCTAAATGGGTCGTGAAGAGTCCACATATTAGGTGTGTACGGTCCGGTAATGTCGGGCCGGTGTTTTTAACTAAAAATTGGATCCCCTGCATGTTCACCCCCCCCCCCCACACTCTAAAAGTAGCATGGTCCGAGCTGGTACAAGATCTGTACTGCATATGCATTCAGTCCATAGATTAATAACAACAGAGATAGAATACTAGATGTCGTCTTTTTAAAACCCTGAGGCAGAAGCCCAAAGGAGTTCCGCGCAGGCAGCGTTGAATTACAAGACAGAGAGAGAGCATTCGCCGCCTGCGCGGAACTTTGGGCTTCTGCCTCAGGTTTATTGTGCACGAAAAAACCCTAAATCTTGAAAAGATAACCTCTAGTGTTCTATCTGTGTTGTTATAAATCTATGATTCAGTCATACTGTCCAGTCTGGACTACCCAGTGAAGAGTCAACCCAGAACGTTATAAATGCAAGATCACTGTGATTACCTTTAGGCTATTACAGGTTCCATCAAATGTTCTGTAAACTTGCCTGAAATAAAAATTAATTGTTAATTATTATTTATTCTATTTTTCAGTTTTTCGCAAAATACAGTTCCTCGTGTCAATGTGGGATAGGAAGACGACATTTCAGCAATATTTTGTGTATTTCATTTAACTGAATAAAATCATTAACTAACTTATTGATTGATTAATTGTTTTATTGAATGGTTGATCTATTAATTGATAAATTTGCTATTTGATTATTGATCAATTGATCAATTGATAAATTGATTGATTAATTCACTAATTGATTATTGATCAGTTGATTGATTTTAAAACTGATGATTGATCAGTTAATTAATTAATTGATTTATTGATTGATCAGTTGAAATTGTTTAATTGATTCATTAGTTGATTAATTAATTGTTTGATTAATTGATCAGTTAATTAATCAATTGTTTGATTAATTGATCAGGTGATTTATTAACTGTTTGATTGATTGATTAGTTGATTAATTAATTGTTTTATTGATTGATTAATTCATTAATCAATGGTTTGATTTATTGATCAGTTAATTAATCAATTGTTTTATTTATTGATCAGTTGATTAATTAATTGTTTGATTGATTGATTAGTTAATTAATCAATTGTTTGATTAATTGATCAATTGTTTAATTAATTGATCAGTTGATTAATTAACTGTTTGATTAATTGATCAGTTGATTAATTAGTTGTTTTATTGAATAATTGATTAATTAATGGTTTGATTACTTAATCAGTTAATTAATCAATTGTTTTATTTATTGATCAGTTGATTAATTAATTGTTTGATTGATTGATTAGATCATTAATCAATTGTTTGATTAATTGATCAGTTGATTAATTAGTTGTTTTATTGATTGATTAATTGACTAATTAATGGTTTAATTGATTGATCAGTTAATTAATCAATTGTTTGATTGATTGATCAGTTGTTTAATCAATTGTTTGATTGATTGATTTATTGGTGTATAACCTGTTCATCTGTTAGATTGTTGGATTCTTGAATTAGTTTAGTTGCCTCGAGGAGAACCTGGGCATCCTTATCCACAGATATAATATCCTGGATAGATAAATAGATAGATAGATAGATAGATAGATAGATAGATAGATAGATAGATAGATAGATAGATAGATAGATAGATAGATAGATAGATAGATAGATAGATAGATAGATAGATAGATAGATAGAAACCTTACCATAGATACACAAGAATATTCTTGTATATCTATAAACCTTACACTATGATTGGGTTCACTATGATTGGGGGACTTGATAGAACCACGGAATGTTATTAGCTTGATTTGAATTTGTCGACGTATATTCCCGTCAAATCTGGGTTCCCAAGCTAGTTTCATACAATTATGGTAACTACTCTATTATAAATTTTACCTTTCTAGGTGTATTGAATCTAAGATGGAACTCTGTAGGTCCAGTATCCTCGGGATCCTCGGCTGGACTATCCTCGAACCCGAAATTGACCCCATCAGCTGTTCAAACAAGATTTAAATTCTTTTTAATTCCTAAGTATTCCACTGATCGATGGCCGAAAAAACCATCGATGCCCAATAAACCGATCGATGGCCGAAAAAACTAACGATGACCTATAAACCGATCGATGGCCGATAAACCAATTGATGGCCAACAAACCGATCGATGGCCAATAAACCGATCGATGGCCGAAAAAACTAACGATGACCTATAAACCGATCGATGGCCGAAAAAACCGATTGATGGCCAATAAACTGATTGATGGCCGATAAACCTATCGATGGTTGATTGATTGTTTGGTTGAGAAAATGTTCTGAGAATTATACTTAAAGGATCCTCAGTAAGACTATCATCAAACCCAAAATTGACCCCATCAGCTTCTCAAACCAGATTTAAATTCTTTTTGTCCCTGAGAATTCCCCCCCCCCCCCTCGAACCGGTTGATGGCAAATCGGTGAATGCCTTGGTGGGTTGAGAAAATGTTTTTAGTCAATTCGGTTTCTATAAAAGACTATCCTAGAACCCAAAATTTACTCCATCAGCTGTTAAAACCAGAATTGAAGCCTTTTTAATCCCTATGCATCCCCCCCTTGAACCGGTTGATGGCAAGAATGTAATGCAAGGAAAATTAATTACAGTTGCGTATACTCTGCGTACATATTGAAACCAGTTCTCTCTGGGGGGAATTTGTAAACAAAAATAGATGCATCAGTGTTCGTTTAGTATCCGAGGAGGTTAAAAGTATTGAATTTTGATAATTTTGATAATTCACATGATAGTTTCCTATGACCATAATATTTCATTGATTCTTTTTGAAAAAGATGGATCCCATGTCAGGCTTCGACATCCGTCTTGTGTTTACATTACCGCCCATTGACAGTACACTGCGGTACACAAGATGCGTGCACCTCTGAAATAACTTTCCTTGCATTAAATCGTTGGTTGATGGCCGATCGATGACCAATCTGTTTATGACTTGGTGGGTTGAGAATATGTTGTGTTTTTTAAAGACACTGTATGTAGAATGTAGAGCCTGCATTGCATAGTCAGGCTCCATTATTTTAGAACAATTTAGAGCCCTTTATTATGGACCCTCCACTTTTATACTGACGTGTCCGATACACGAAAGTATCTTTTAAAAATTTAATTTATGACCTTGGATTTATGCACTTATAAATCAGGGTTACCATGGCCTTATTATAAGAAATTAAAATATAAATTTTTATTTTATAATTTTATAATTTTAATCAAGTTTCCTGCGAGAACGTTCTCCTCTACATCATCATCATTAACTGGTTTCCGGAAAAAAAATTATTAAAACTATAAGAAGGGACTGTAAGCATGATTTTAAGTGACCCTCCATGCAAAGATGGCAATGCCCGATTCACTCCGGTATTCTTAAAAGCTTTGTGTGAACAAGAATGAATTAGATCTAACTGAATCTAATTTTGAAAAATGATCATTTTTAATTTCGGTTTACCCACAAAAGTGACTCGCGCATTGAGGAGAACATGTAGGAATTATCAGAATTAAGTACTTTAAATGTAGAAAAATGACAATATCTTGCACATTATCGATCAGATAAAAGTTTCAAGGGTACTGTGGTAAATCAGGCATTGCCATTGTTGCTATTGTTTAAACTAAGCTTTCAGTACCTGTAAGTTGAAATTAAAAATGGTTAAAAAAGTTTTTTGTGAATTTTTTTTTCCTTCAAAAAATCCAGATCTAAGAAAATCATCCGCCTCTTCAACACTAAAAAAATGGTAAAAAAAATAGTTTTTCTAAATATAAATAATTTATTACATTTTCATGTTTCACACATTTTTGAAGATGTCCCTATCATTGAGCTTAACCTTTGAAAAAGACCAGTGACAGTTCAAGTTAGAAAATAAAAATATGACAAATTCTTATATTTTGACAGTTATGTGATAGCTGTTAAATGTGATAGCTGTTAAATCAGCATGTCCAATCAAATGTCCAATGAAATGTCCTTCTTTGAAATATTTGTCCAATAAAATGTCCTTCTATGAAATAGTTGCTCAATAAGATGTCCTCCTATGAAATATTTATCCAAAAAATTGTCCTTTTATGAAACTTTCTTAAATAAAATGTCCTTATGTGAAATAGTTCTCCGATGAAATGTCCTTCTGTGAAATATTTGTCCTGAGAAATGTCATTTTCTGAAATATTTGTCCAATAAAAGTCCATCTATGAAATGTTCTTATATGAAATAGTTGTCCTATAAAATGTTCTTCCAATAAAATGTCCTTCTATGAAATATTTGTCCAATAAATGTCCTCCTTAGAAGTATTTGTCCAAAGAAATGTCCTATGAAATATTTGTCCTACAATGAAATATTTGTTCAATAAAATGTCCTCCTATGAAGTATTTGTCCAAAACATTGTGCTTCTATGAAATAGTTGTCCTATGAAATGTCCTTCTATGAAATATTTGTCCAATAAAAGTCCTTGTATGAAATATTTGTCCAATAAAATGTCCATCTATGAAATGTTTTCAATAAAAAGTTCTTATATGAAATATTTGTCCAATGAAATGTCCTTTTATGAAATGTTCTTCAATAAAATGTTTGTACATGAAACATTTGTCCAACGAAATGTCCTTCTATGAAATATTTGTCCGAATGAAATTTCCCAAAGCATTGATTTTACCTAATTTCAGGAATATCCACCACATCTGCAGCTGTATCCACAATATCCACAATATTATTCTCAGTGATATCCAAACAACAAACACCTAGCAAAATAGTTTGTTTGTTATATATTATATCAGACTTTTTAAAATAAAAAACTTTATATGTTCGCGCGGAAAAATAGAAATATAGTTTTTACAGTTTAGTATTTTAAGAATATGAAATCATTTAAAAAAATAATGAAATGTTCGTTTAAACGAACTGTATTTGTGAGCGTCATGTGATCTCCCATTTTGAGAAGGACAATACCGATTCACAACAGTACCCTTTAAACCTTAAACTAATTATCAAGAACATAGAACTCTTTTATGCTGTATAAAAAGCAGTAAAATTGGAGTGTACGCTAGCGTACTGTATGAACTCAATGCAAATGACGTTACATCCTGTTAAATCTAGAATATTCGATGTCGATTACACTTACATTCCTTAAACATGAAGCAGCCAAAGAGAATAGATTAGTATAGAGAGGAATTGACTCGAAAAAAGTGCAAAACCGCCATTTGGTTGTAATGTTTCCATACTGCAGGTGTACTTCACACAGTTGTAATATATTACCTTTTGGGACCTGGAACATCTTTTTTTATAGAAAAAGGTTTTACGTTTTAATGTTGAATAAAATAGTTATTTTAATTCACATATAGCTAATACACATGTTAAAAAGTTATTTCACAACCTTACAAAACTAATAAATTGTAACAAATATGTCCAGGGATCATATAGTTGTATTAATGTGATGTACTGTGTGTGAACATTTACGTGTATTGTACATTTTGAACTCCTTTTCAGGCTGAAAGGGACTAACAAAATTCCAAAGAGAATAGAATATATATTAGAGCGGAATTTAGAGAATCTCTCGGTATGAATCATGTGAAATGATCATTGGTCAATTATGAAACCAGCCTATTTCATAATTTGGTTTTCTTTTAATATTAATTTTAGATTTTCTATAAAGTGATGTTCCAGGGCCCAAATGGTTATATGGCATAAATATGTGAAGTACACCTGCAGTATGGAAACAGTACAACAAAATGGCCGTTTTACACTTTTTTCTAGTAAATTCCCCTCTAATATATATTCTATCACTTTGCAAAATTCATATTGAGGGATTGTTTGAATTCCTGTCCATTCTAATCTCTGTTCTGTGGAAGCAGCTTGCAATCAAAGTGTTCAGCATTTTCATTGTTCAGGTTGATAATTAATGAAAAATCTGTCATCCTTAAGGAGTCAAAGGTTTAGAGGGTAAACTGTTGTAAATTAAGGATGCCCTCTTGTTCTTTAAATGGATGTTCACCTAAAATTACCCTGACAGAAGAAGACACGCACCTTTTTGACCCTTCAGTAAAAGTAAATTCAACCTAAAGTCTGACCACGTCAACCTTGTTGCACCGGCTAGTCCTATTGAGTGTCTGCTTTATGTACCCAATGTTCGGACGATACAGTACAAACGGGGATCGGAAAAGTTGACCCGGCTCGGAAATTCAAATGTACTGTGGCTGCCTGTGAAGAGTTGATTTTTTACCTGTTGTTGAGTCTTTCAAGACACATTCATTTGTCTCCAGGAAACTAGTAGATACAAATAGATAAATTTAGATAATAATAGATACAAATAGATAATAATAGATAATAATAGATAATAATAGATATAGATAATAAAAGAAATTAGTGAATAACATTTGAATTGCTTTAAATACTGTACATTTCTTGACCCCAAAAAACCTTAAATAACTTTTTGAAAAAAACGTTGTGCTTTTTTCTGTTATACCTGATAGTTACTCCAACACAGCTAGAAGGTAAATGACAAACACCTAGCTCTCCTGGGAAAAAACATTAATATTTTATTCATCTTTAAAGAGACTGTTCAGGAACAATGAAAGGGGGTACAGGCTGAAACCTAAGCATTTTAGAAGTTGATTGAGACCCATGAGAGTTCTATCTCATGTTCCTGTCTCGAGAAATTAAAATAAAACTGTATCAAAGTTATATCTATATATATAAAATTTTGTATAAAAATAGTAGGTTTAACGGGTCATATTCAGCAAATATGCAACCAATCTGAAAACTACGATATACCAGAGGAGTCTAATAAACTTAGGCTTGCTCCTATTATTATTTAAATTTAATAATTTTTCGTTTTTGATAGATATAATTGGTAATATAATAATACGTCCGCAGCATGTGACCAGAAATCCGACCAATGGCAGTGCAGTATCATTATCATGTGACTCTGTATCACTTGACAAGTATACTGCACTGCATCAGATAGAACTCTCATGGGTCTCCGTCAACTTCTAACATGCCTAGGTTTCAGCCTATTCCGGCCCCCCTTTAATTTTTCCTTTACAGTCCCTTTAAATTTGATTAATGAAATAAAACTTGATTGAAGATTTAGAAAAGTTAGAAATTTTTTACCTGTGAGTGTTGTACAGGGTGAGCCCTCAATATCTAAATATTTCGTAAAATTAAATTTTTTAAACTTCAAATACATAATCCGCAAAAAAATCATAGATTTGATTGATTGTTGTAATCTTAACTGATCTTCCGTTTAATATAGATCAGTACCACAAATAGATTTTGACAGAGAAGATGATATAAATCCCTTGTATTTCTTAAAAAGACATAGCTTTTAAAGGGTACCGTTATAGATTAGATATGCCACTCTATAAATATAGAGAGTCACTTAAAACTAACTCTAAAAACAAATTTTTTAATGAAAAATTAATGTTAAAAATGTAAAAAAAAATTTTTTTAATGATCTATCTAAATACTACCGTTAGTAAACTCAAAATTTCTTCCTTCAGGATTAGGAACTTCAGTTCCTAAAAAAAATGTTAATAAAAAAATATGATTGAGATTGTAATATCACTGATGTGTTAAAAAAATTCATTTATACTAGAATCTCCCTAGAAATAACGGATTTTCTAATTGATTTTCTAGGTGATTTTCTAGTTGATTTTCTAGTTGATTTTCTAGTTGATTTTCTAGTTGATTTTCTAGTTGATTTTCTAGTTGATTTTCAAGCAAGTTTAAGACTACATTAAAACAAGATCAATACACGTACGATTCCTTAAATGTCGTCTTCATACTCTACAATAGTATGGGTTTCATTGTAAAATACAGGGATTGGCGTTTATATCAATAAAATGAAGAAGAATTTTCAATTAAAGTTTTGATTTCTAACTTAAGCTTTTTTCAAGTTTACAAGTAATCTCAGAGAAGCTGTTAATAAAAAGCTTCTCTTTGTTTCAATGTTTGTGTATTCTAGCTGTTTCAAAGCTTGCAGTAAATTAAAAAATTGAAATAGGAAGTCGTCTGCATTGTATTAATATATTCGACGACGACTGTATGCTTGATAAACCTGTAGAATCAATTGGACAGGATTCTGAACAGTATCCCCAGTTCTCCTTTAGATCAAACACAGTCAAATTAAATTTATTGATAAATGGATTGATAAATCAATGGATTGGTTAATAGATCAATGGGTTGATAAATCAATGGATTGATAAATCAATGGATTGATAGATCAATGGATTGATAGATTAATGGATTGATAGATCAATGGATTAATAGATCAATGGATTGATAGATCAATGGATTGATAGATCAATGGGTTGATAGATCAATGGGTTGATAAATCAATGGTTAATAGATCAATGGATTGATACATCAATGGATTGATAGATTGATTTGAGATCAATGGATTGATAGATCAATGGATTGATAGATCAATGGATTGATAAATCAATTGGTTGATAAATCAATGGATTGATAGATCAATGGATTGATAGATCAATGGATTGATAGATCAATGGATTGATAGATCAATGGATTGATAGATCAATGGGTTGATGAATCAATGGGTTGATAAATCAATGAATTGATAGATCAATGGATTGATATTGATAGATCAATGGATTGATAGATAAATGGACTAATAGATCAATGGATTAATAGATCAATGGATTAATAGATCAATAGATTGATAGATCAATGGATTAATAGATCAATGGATTGATAGATCAATGGATTGATAAATCAATGGATGGATACATCAATGGATTAATAGATCAATGGGTTGATAGATCAATGGATTGATATATCAATGGATTAATAGATCAATGGATTAATAGATCAATGGATTGATAGATCAATCGATTGATAGATCAATGGATTGATAGATCAATGGATTGATACATCAATGGATCGATACATCAATGGATCGATACATCAATGGATCGAAACATCAATGGATCGAAACATCAATGGATTAATTGATTGATTTGTGTGTTCCTGGTTTGGGACATGGTTTCGTTCATCATCAACCTGAAATTTAAAATAATTAGTTAAATAATTAGCAAATAATAATTAATTAGATAATTAATTAGATAATTATCAAATAATAATTAATTAGATAATTATCAAATAATAATTAATTAGGTAGTTATCAAATAATAATTATATAGGTAGTTATCAAATAATAATTAATTAGATAATTATCGAATAATAATTAATCAGATAATTATCAAATAATTATTAGTGAGATACTATAATCAATTAAATAATAATTAAATAATAATTAGCTTAATAATTATCAAATATTAATTGATTAGATAATTTAAAAAAAACTAATTAGCTTACTATCAAATAATAATTGATTCGATAAGTATCGAAAAATGATTAATAAGCTAATTATCAAATAATAATTAGTTGAATAATTATCAATTAATAATTAATTTGATAATTATTAAATAATAGTCAATTAAATAATTATCAAATATTAATTCATTAAATAAGAATAATTATCAGTCCCTTCCCTTCACCATTTTTAACTGCAACCTGTCTGCAATGGTTTCCAATCAAAATTCCGTTGCGCGGAATTGCGCAGAAAAATTGGCTTGCTATTGCTATTGCCTTGCTATTGCTATTTGCTATTGCTATTGCTATTGCTATTGCTATTGCTTGCTATTGCTTGCTATTGCGTGCAAGTAAACTCCATTTGTCTGAAAAACCCTACCTCTCAAATCCCACTCAACCCCTCTGTTATTTTAATACTCCCCTTTCCCCCCCCCACAAACCAGCACGTGCATGAATAAAACAACAAAACTAGTTTTTTTGCAACAAATTCAAGGATAGAGATAATCTAGAATTATATTGTGCAATAATCCAGGTTTGCAAAATTAATATTTATGCAACAGCAATTTAGGTTAATCTCCATATTTAAACTGCTATTTTTATCCTTAAAGGGACTGTTAACATAATTTCAAGTAACATGCCATTTTTATTCACAAAGGTATCCTTTAAACTTTGACTTTTCAATTGTTGAACACGTGTAGTGCAAACTGTTTTATAAGGAATATCAACATTTACTTTAAATAATCGGCAGAATAGAAATATTCGCATTCGAATTTTTTAAACCGCATCTAACAAAGAATATTCTAGATTTTATCAAATATCGTCTTGACAATTTTTCAATGAGTTTTATACTATTTTACGTAAATCTCAGTATATGCGAAAATAAATAAATAGCCATGAATATGCGGGAACAGTTTAAAAGAGTTCCAAATAATCATTTAATTAAAAAATTAAATATCTGCAACATTCCATTATCAGAAAGTGAAGAATACGACATTTATATGGCTTATTTAGTGTTAAACTGTATACTGAATAAATCCTTTTTTCCTTGATCAAAAACTATTTTAACCCTGTATACTTTGTCAAAACTTTTAGGATTTATTATTATTATTATTATTTTACTCCATTCTTCTCCAGTAAGTTCTTGGTCCTCGATTTTCAGTCAAATGTTTAAAGGGTACCGTTGTGAATCGGGAATGGCTCTCTTGTAATGGAAGGTTACTTAAAATTGCGCTAACAGTCACTTTCAAAGAGATGTTTCTGGATTTCGACACGAGGGGGACACGAGGCTAAATCGAGATCGACACGAGGGTGACACGAGGCTGGCACGAGGCTGACACGAGGCTAAATCGAGATCGACACGAGGGTTACACAAGGCTGACACGAGGGTGACACGAGGGTGACACGAGGGTGACACAAGGCTGACACAAGGCTGACATGAGGCTGACACAAGGCTGACACTAGGGTGACACGAGGGTGACACGAGGGGGACACGAGGGTGACACGAAGGGGACACAAGTGTGACAAACAATCTTAAAAGCTTTCAAAATTAATAACATTCCCTTTAAAGGGACTGTTTACAAAATACTTACGAGTGTACTGCACCAAAACCTGTCCTCTTGGTCCTCTTCTTTTAAACAAGCTAAACACAAAATTCATGTACAGAGTGTTCTAATAAACACAATATTCATGTACAGAGTGTTCTAATAAACACAATTATCATGTACAGAGTGTTCTGATAAACACAAAATTCATGTACAGAGTGTTCTAATAAACACAATATTCATGTACAAGGAGTTCTAATAAACACAATTTTCAGTTAAACAGAGTGTTCTAATAAACAAAATTTTCATGTAAACAGAGTGTTCTATAAACACAATATTCATGTGTCCTCAACCTTGATGGATGATGAATAAATGATGTCATCAAAAAACTGAAATATATGCCAAGAAACTTAAATCTGATATTTCGTGAGATATAACTAACATTTTGCTCGAAATTTTGAAATATAAGTTAAATTGAAATGCTTTCGGTGGTTCAATATTACGAACAAAATAAAGGTTTTTTTATTAGATGAGGAAACCTGAGTCCGAATTTAAGAATTTGAGCCGAGTCTCAAATCCGCCAAAAACCGGTTTCAATTGAGCGCTGGCTTGAATCTTGAAACATTGAATACAATTTTAAGCGGAACCAACCATATTTGAGCTGCGTCTAAAATGTAAGCTGCGGCCTAAATTCTTTAAATCCGGGCTCTGAATATTTATTTTCCGACATATTCACTCATTTTTGTTTGTAATTTAACCTCAATTGTCTAGCTACGAGCAAGTCAATTTAAAGGGTTTAAATATGACCTCCAGGGTTCAAATATGACCTCCAGGGTTCAAATAAGACATTTAGGGTTCAAATATGACCTCGAGGGCTTAGATATGACCTCTAGGTTAGAAATTTGACCACCAGGGGTAAATATGACCTCCAGGGTTCAAATACATCCTGTAAGATTCAAATATGACCTCCAGGGTTCAAATAAGACCTATAGGGTTCAAATATGACCTCAAGAGTTCAAATATGACCTTATGCTTCTTATTGACCTGCAGAGTCCAAATATGATCTCTAAAATTCAAATATGACCTCCAGGGTTCAAATATGACATTCTTAGGTCCTTAAATCACCTCAATGATTCAAAATATGAGCTTTTTGTGTCCTAAAATGACCTCCTGGGTCCTAAATTGACCATCAGGTTTTTTATATGACTTCTTTGGGTACTAAAACAACCTCCTGGCCCCTGGGTCCTAGATTGACCTCATAAGTTTAAGTAAGACCTGTTCTAAGTTTCCCCTGGAACCTGAACGGTAGTTGACAAGGCAGACCGGACTTAGGTCCCGACACAGTCATGCACTCCTGAGAATTATTATTATTATTATTATTATTATTATCATTATTTTATTATTATAATATAAACTTTTTTACCGTTTGAGGGGCATCATCATCAATGAATTGAACATCTTGCCCAACCATTAAACCAACTGAGATTGGATCATCAATTGGCTTTCATTTATTTTTTGAATTAGTTGTTTAAAGATGATTATAATATGATTTTTTTTTTTGCTTTACAACCTATATAACTGTGAAATAGAAAGACATGTTATGTGGTTAACTTGTTGCTTTATAACAACAGAGAATAGAATATATATTAGAGTGGAATTTAGACAATCCTTCGGTATGAATTTTGTCAGTCCCTTTCAGCCTGAAAGGGAGTTCAAAGTGTACAAATCATGTAAATGTTCACAAATTATATGCAGTAGAGTACTTTAATACAGTATGTTCCCTAGACTATCCATTTTAATTTCGAATTTTTTAAAGCTTTTAAATAAACTTTATAAAATGAATTAGGCGAAAAAAAAACATCATTTTATTTATAGTTATAACGGAAAATCATCGTTTGTAAAATGAAAGGCATAGAGTCTATGTGAAATAATCATTGGTCAATTATGAAACCAGCCTATTTTATAATTTGGTTTTCTTTTAATATTAATTTTAGATTTTCTATAAAATGATATTCCAGGGTCCAAAAGGTTATATAGCACAAATATGTGAAGTACACCTGCAGTATGGAAACAGTACAACAAAATGGCCGCTTTACACTTTTTTCTAGTAATTTCCACTCTAATATATATTCTATTCTCTTTGTTTATCACACATCAATTACACAAGATTGCTTAGATGTAGTTTTCCAATTCCACATTGTTATGGCCCTCACTGTAAAATTTATTTCCGAGATAAAGAAATATAAAAAATTCAATTTTTTTTCTTGTGTTTACTGATTTTTGATATTTTTATTATTAATGATCAATGCCTTGAAGAAAAAGTAAAAATATTTTTAACATTTTTTTCAGTCCGAGACTTTCTATTTTCTGAAATTTAAGAATTTTATGAATTTTTTTTTTTTTTTTTTTGGCTGGTGTTATATCACTAGAGTTGGATACTCATAACCTCGATCACTTGATTTCGATATCCACTAAGGGCACTTTAAACTTGAGATTCTATAAAAACTATACCATTCTAGTTATTCTTCTCCTAATCAATGCTCCCCTTAACCCCTTATCCCAATCTCAGAGCTGAGAACTCTTGTATTGTGGATATCTAGATAAATGCTTAATCTCGATCTTTTATTAAGCTGCAGATTAATTTAATCTGTTTATGATATCCCGGATAGTAATCGTACCCAGTCAGGGGTTGACGGGAGCTTTGATTAAGGGAGGCATAGCTACAATGAAGATATGAGAAGGTAAAAAAAAGTATAGATCTTAATACAAGTGCCCCCAGTGCATATCTAGATCAAGCCATCGGGATTTTATATTAAACATTTTTCCACAGAAATTATGAAATCCTTGTCAAAACACTTGCAATATGAGTAAATAAACATTTAGCCGAAATTTCAGAACTTTTAGAGTTTTTGTTCCAATAATAATATATTGAAACAAAACTAACATCTGCATATGTTTTATTATTGCTTTTAAAAATTACGACATTTTTTGAAATTACAACAAAAAATGTTGTTAGAAATTGTGACTAAATTTAAAAGTTCAAATTAAAATTGTGATTAATTAAATTGAAGTTAAATTGTGAGCCTAATATTTATTTACAATGTCCTTTGGATTTTGGGCCGCTAGGTGTCTCTTCCAAGTGAAATAATCGTCATCCAAATTATATTGCATATAAATAAAATTTATATAACTTTACTATCGAAATAATTAGTTTAAAATTTAATTGACTTATTTACGGTTTGGGTGGAATAATGAAACTCCGTGAACTTATATCCAGGTTCTAATTTAAGATTGAGCTCCCTTTATGATTTGTAACAGTGCACTAGGATATTTACGGTTTAGGTGGAATAATGAAACTCCGTGAACTTATATCCAGGTTCTAATTTGATTGAGTACCCTTCATGATTTGTAACAGTGCATTAGAATATTTACGGTTTATGTGGAATAATGAAACTCCGTGAACTTATATCCAGGTTCTAATTTGGTTGAGTACCCTTCATGATTTGTAACAGTGCATTAGAATATTTATCTGACAAACGGAAATTTTTATTTTATGGGTTAGAAACTTGTCTGTTGTTGACGAATTTTCGGAAAACAAGTAACGATTTGATTTAAAGATAGATTTAAAGGGACTGTAAAGGAAAAATGAAAGGGAGTATATGGTGAAACCTGAGAATCTCAGGAGTTGAACGATACCTATAAGACATCTATCTGATGTTCCTGTCTCGAGAAATTGACATATAACTGTGTCAAAATTATACCAAACCGTATATATGTAAGATATGTGTCTGTGTCACGTAACCAGAACTCCCTCCAATGACAGTGCAGTATACTGATCACGTAATATAGACGGAGCCACCTGACAATAATACTGCACTGCCATTGGTTGGAGTTCTGGAGACATGTTCTGGACGCATAAATAATATTATCAATTATATCTATTAAAAATGAAAAATTATCAAATTCAAATAATAATAGGAGCAAACTTGAGTTTCTCAGGCTCCTCTGGGATATCGTTGTTTTCAGATTGGTTGCATATATTTTTCTATTCTATGCTGCTAGGAGCGGCAAGGAGCTGCTAGGTGCTTCTAGAAGCTGCTAGGAGCTGCTAGGTGCTTCTAGAAGCTGCTAGGAGCTGCTAGGAGCTCCTAGAAGCTGCTAGGAGCTGCTAGGAGCTAGTTAATGTGAAGAGGTGTCCTTTGTAAATCACTGATGACAATCTTCCAATTAAAAGTCACTAGTTTGACGTCTTTGACGAGCAACTTTGTTTTAATTAATGTCAAATTGGAGATGATGTAAATGGTAAACTTAATTTTTTGACATAGAAAAAAACGATAACAGTACACGGTCGAAAAAAATGCTGAAAAAATCCCCCTGCACTCTTATCATTTGTGGGTAACCCTGTAATTAAGATTTCATTTTCTAAAGTAAGGGGTATACTAGGGGATTAGAGGATGTTTAGTCATATCTAGGAATGGACTCCCTAAAATATAGATTAAAAACAGATTTTTTATGAGTAGGGAGTTTTTAGATATAGGTGAGTGGCCCAAAATATAAAGATATCTACAATTTTAATTTGACAATGTTTTGGTTTTAACTAACATATATTTTATTTGTTTCCCAAAAAAGAGGGAGGGGTCACCAAAAAACTATTTATTAATAAAAAATTGTTGCGTAGAAAAACCGTTTTAATCCCTCCTGCTGGGAGTGTTGGAAATAACTGAAGCTCGGGATTTTGAAGTATTATATAAAATATAATATATACATATATATATAATATATATAAAAGCAGGAATTAAATCTTGAATCAGGTTTTTATCAAAGAGTAAAGAATATGCTAGAGTTGTAACAATAGGTTTTCTGAAAGTTTTATCAAAGTGTACAGTTTATGTATTTACAATAATAATAATAATAAAGTATGTTTCTCGGCAAACTCTTTCAACAATTTTTTTTTATTTTTACGTTGATACATAAATTTAAAAATAGTGAAATATGTGAAATAAAACTGTTTTTAAAATAATTGTTCTCTACGAGAAATTCCAGGGCCCAAAAAGTTATATGTTGGATTTGGTTTTCAAAATGGCGGATTTACAGATTTACACTTTTTTGAGTCAAGTCTACTCTATATAGATACTGCTCTGTGGATTTTATTCAACGCTTTACATTATCTCGCCAAAACCGGTAGAACATGGTTTTACACCATTCTCCCTAGAGGACTTTATTTCACTAACACGAGACAATGAATTTCATACACAGGAGTCCTCATATCAATGAATTTTATACACAGGGGTCCACATATCAATGAATTTTATACCAGGGGTCCACATATCAATGAATTTTTTACACAGGGGTCCACATATCAATGAATTTTATACACAGGGGTCCACATATCAATGAATTTTATACACAGGGGTCCACATATCAATGAATTTTATACA